AGAGCGTCACAGATTTTGCTAGAAGGGAATCACACAGTACCAACAAAAAAAATGCCCCTGTTAATGTACACGTGGTCAAAGGGTTGGCTACATGAGCTATAAAAACAAATTTATGGCTCTAAGAAACACTGCAAATGAAAAACACAAAGATCAGAAGCCTTGAAGAACTGGGGATGCTTTGATTGGTGCAATCGCAAATTAACCCCACTGAAGCCCTCTGCCACCATAAAACAGGGACTTCTGACTGTGCAGCAAACCCAGAAACCACACCTTACCTAAAACGGGTTTCGAAAGCAAAAGTTGGAGTAAGCCCATCTCGAACAGCCTGCCCTTCTCCCTCAAGACAACTCTGAACTAAGCTAGAGCGTTTCTTGCATCTGTGGGAAGAGACAAGGTACTGAGGAAGCCAAACGCATCCCGGTATTTCTGTAGGAGAGATGTTACTGGGCCAAACGAGCAGGCAGCATACCCTCGTGGCCCAGAGGCCAGTCCCACCAGTTGGGAGCGTTCCAGTTGCTGCCTTACCCCCTCCAAAGGGCTACAGCTCAACAGGGTATGAATCTGCTCTTGAGTTGCTGCAGTCATAGCCTATTATATTTTAAAATCAGCTTGTGCTCTAACGTGGAACTACAATCCACACGGGCACCGGAGCAGGTACACATCATCTGCAGCACCACCAACTAGAGTTCGCTCGCAAGCATCAGCCACGCTCCAAAAGGTGCGGAGGAAGAAGAACACGTGGAAGGTTTGCTTAAGCGTCCAGCTTCGCAGCAGCAGACTCTCCCTGCTCATAGGATCTTCTCAGGCTTATTTAAGCAAGCTGTTAGAATTCACAACTGTGCTGCAGATGATTGATTTTTGGGGGGAGGGCTGTCTGTTTATAGTCTTCCTTGCGCAATTATTTTTAGAAAGCAGCGTGTTTCCAAATTCGCATCTTCCCCATGACATTACCTGCTGCTCTCAGGGCTTGGGCAATACCTGCTGATGCAGCTCCGGGCAGGAGAGCTGTGTTTTCAGAGCCGTAGCCTGGAGAGCCCTCCTGACCCCCAGACCAGCTGGGCATGCTGTCACCCGCTCCTTCCAGAGAACCAGGCATTTGCTTCTTGAAAGACTAAACATAAGAGTCATAAAAGACTATTAAATCCAGCG